TTGCAAGAGGGAGAAGGAAGCCATGGAGGAGAGGAGAGAGCCACGACCCTGGCCCAGGGCCTCTGAGCGAGCACCCTCGGAGGCAGGGGCCTGCTAGTTGGCAGAGCTCCCCAGCTCCTGCGACCTCGCGGCATTACAGGGTCTGGGCCCCGGTGCTGGCACGGTCCGGCCCAGCCCATGGCTGTGGCACCCACAGCTGCAGGGGCCAGAGACCTGCCCAGAGCCGCAGAGTAGTCGGGGGCCAGGGCCGGCTCCCACCCGTGGCTATAGTCACGTCCAGGGAAGAGAAAGCAAAAGGAGCCTGCAGTGGCCAGCAGAGAAGGGGCTTCTCTCCCAGAGGAGGGGTCTGCACACCCAGCTGGACACCGGCTCGCTGTGCTGCCCCAGGGGCCAGGGTGGGGGGTGTGAAGGGCTGAGCTGTGGTCTAGCTTTGGAGAACTGGGGAAAGTACCAATAGAAACAGCACCTGCAGCAGTGACCGCTCTGTGAGGAGCTGAGAAGGAACCAGCACCCGAGGGGTGTTTTCCTGGGGGCAGAGGGTGCATGAAGGGCCAGGTGCAGGGGGAGCAGCCTGGGGAGCTCAGGCAACCTCCGCTGAGCATCAGGCAGCCCCGGTGCTGACAGTGCACGGGCCGGTCCCTGGAGCAGGGCCTGGCCGAGGGGTGCCAGCTCCCTGAGCCCGGGGGGCACCACCAGGATGGGGTGGGATTTGCCCGGCTGGGGCAGGGCACTGTTGGGAGCGGGGCCTGGTGCCACGGTTCAGCAACAGACCGTCTCAGCCCAGCTTGGGGCCAAAGGGGCTTTTCAGCAGCTGCTAAAATGATTTTGCTTTCACGGGTTGAGTAAGCTGGGAAGTTTTGACACCACGCAAATATTCCCCTGGTGAGAAACTGCTGCTGAGAGGTCGTGGGGGCTGGGAGCGGTGGGGGAGCATGGCGGGAGGGCAGGTGGTCTCGGCCTCCTCGCCTCTGCTGAGGCCCTGGGGAAGACGGGAGCAGCTGCATCCTGTGGGGTCTGCACAACCCAGCCGCGGAGCTGCAGGCTGCCCGAGCTTGCTCCTCTCCGACAGGGAGGTGGGACCGGCCGACGCGCCGCCCTGGCCCCCTGGGACCCTGTGGGCAGTCCCACACCCACCCCTTCCCGTGGAGGTCCCAGCAGCGCAAGCTCAGAGCACGGGTCCACTGGGGCCAAGCTCCTGCCTCTCCAAGGGCTTCCTAGCACAGAGTGACCCCTCACGGCGCCTTCCCCGGCGCATGTCACCGCGCAGAGCGGTGCGACAGGGCTGGGCAAGCGCTCCAGCGAGGCCACGCGTGCTCCGGCTCCCTGCACCGCTCAGCCGCAGTCCCTCGCGGTCCGTGTCGGGGGCAGGTGCAGGCAGGAGCGAGCCTGTCGCAGGCTTTGGCCGGCAGCGTAGCAGCAGCCCCAGCCCTGCAGGGATTTGAGCCTGAACACTTTCCATGTAAATGTCTGCATTTGCATAATGAGCAATGTTAAACATGCAAAAAGTCCAAGCTAAGGATGAATAGGGTAACTGGTTTGGTGAGCTAGCAGCAACACGTGTGTGTCATGCGGTGTCATGTCACATATGTTCAGAAACGATCTGATCAGCCTTCTTGGTCCTTGCAATCCACCGCTGTAGACTCTCATCCAAACCCATCACAAGAGCCTTTCAAGGATTAACCCACATCCTGCGATGCAGGAGACACTGCCTTTGGGTCTGGACAGATGGCATGGGGAAGGGCCTTGCAGTGTTTGAGCTGAATCACTGTAACTGGTTTGTCTGTCCGCTGTATCCCATGATACGTAGAAACCAAGCAGGCAGCTTATCTCGGAATAACACACGGTTACCTGACAGCAGCCTGGCATCGCTTGCTGCAGAAGGGAGCGGAGAGCAGAGCGCGCTCAGCAGATGAGCTGATGCCCACGCGCAAGCACGAAGTCTCATCTCAGAGCAGCAGAGCTGCTTGTCTGTCCGCACGCTTCGCTTTGTTCTCATGTGCTCTTCGCCAGCTCCCCCCCCTTGCCACAGGTCCAGCATGCGTCCTCGGGGGCCCTTGTCTGGTGTTTCGATGCACAGAGACAGGGAGAGACCCTGGAGGGCCGAATCGCCAGATTCCTCAGCTGCCCCATCGGGACATTTGTGCCGTCTGCCTAGCTGGCTCTGTACCCATGCAAGCACCTGCATCGGTTGCAGCAGTGTTGTTGCTCACTCTTCAAAGGCATTTCTACCCACAGGAACTCAGCAAGCAGCAAGGCCTTGGGTGTAGTTGAGAGCAGGTCCTGCACCGTGGCTATCTGCTCACTCCCTGAGCCGCAGGGCAAGTCAGCGCACACCTTGCTGCCATGTAAGACTTGCACTGTGTGGCAGCGGGGTTGAGGCTGTGTCTCTTTGTTTCAGGGCAGCCATCGGGGATCGTTATGAGGAACGTGCTGTGGCTCCCAGCTGTTGCCTTCTTCTTCTTCCTGCAGCACAGTAAGTTCCCGGCTCTCCCCCGGCTGCTGCGCCCGCGAGGCCTCGCATCTGACCAAGCGTTGTGTCGAGGCTGGTGCCAAGCAGCGAGTGGCCCAGGCTCTGGGCCGGAGCTGGGGTTTGCTGGGTGAAGGCTTGGGCTGGGCGTTATGCTGCCCCCACCTGCTTGCCCCCTGTGTAGGCCGGGCCCCCGGTGGGGCTTGGGGGCTCG